TTGTGACGGGACCAGGAGCAGGCTCCTGACAGACACAGCTATGTGAGCAGCAGTGCCAGACACAGGGTAAGGCCTGTCAAGCACCTCTGCTCCAATTCATAGCATTTTTTCTCTTCCAGGCAGATAACAGTATCTATCCTACCCACCTTGAGCAAATATTTGGGAGATAAGCAGCACTGTTTGTGCTCAGCAGCAGTGACTGGACTCTGCTCACCACCGGGGACACTTGGCTGCTGTGTTCTGCAGGGCAGTTTCAGGTCATGCTCTGTGTCCCACCTCTAAACAGCCCTCTTCTCCCTCTCTGTGGCATTTCCCACAGCCACCTCCTCCTCCTCCAGCTCCACAGCCCGGCCCAGAAGCCAAGTAGAGCTGAGAGCCCCTGAAGCACAGGGAGCCCTGCAGAGATTGCTGTGTGCGCTGGGGGCACACGGGGCAGGTTCAGCAGGGAGGACAGCGGGTGCAGCACAGACCCACCACGTCTGCAGGACCCACAGACAGGCATTTCTCTCCTCTTCCCCTGTCCTCCCACAGAATGAGGAGAGAGACACGTTTTAATGACAGTTTGCTGAAATGTGTGTTCCCTGCTGATTTGACATTGGGCAGAAAAAGTGTCTACAAAATCAATTTTTAATAAATGTAAACAACTAAATTATGAATGACAAGAATATCACTGAACAGTTAAATATTAATCATGTAATTACTTAAATTAATACTTTTAGTGCAATATTGTGATAGAGAGTTCTGCTTATGCAGTGTCACTGTGCTGACCAGAGCAGGGCACAGGGGACCACAGGACCACAGTGGCCCCCAGAGCACAGGGACCTGGGGGCCTTAGGGCTCATTGTGCCACAGCCCCAGCTCCTGCTTGTCTCACAGGTCCCACAATACTGGGTGCTCTTCTTAACACCTCTGGAACCAGATTTATTAGGAAAGAACTTGTATTTTCTGTTCAAAATAAAACCGTCAAGAAAATGGCTAAACTGGCCCAAACAAGACAGCAAAGTGCCCCACCCCGAAAATTTTTCTGTCCCCAAGTGCCGTGAAACTCCCCAGCAGCTGTGTGTGATATGCAGACCCACAGGTGTGCTCACTGATGGTCTTGGGAAGACCAGAGGCGCTCTGGGGGGAGCTGGGGGTGCCAAAAGCCCTGTCTGCTTCTGAAAGGGAGCTGGGAGAGTGCATGAAGGAGGTGGTGTGTCCTGAGCTCTGCTGTGGGGGCTGGACTCACTGCCCTGCAGGGCCCTCTGTGCTCCTGCCTGCCCAGGTGCTGCAGGGAGCCTGCAGGCTGGAGAATCCCTCACCAGGATTGAGGGGGGAGCCGCCTTCTGTGGGTACTTGCAGGCAGCACGGGGCTTCTTCCCTTGCCCAAGAAACTAAGAAAAGAATTTACTGGCACTCTTGTCCTTGTGGGTTGGCTGTCTTTGTTGTTTGTTTTTAATCTAATAAAAGAAGATCTTAATATCGTGGTAAAATCGGTACAAAGCTAGAAACTCGCCCCGTGGCGTTTTGGCGAAACATTCTTGAAAATGTAAAAGCCTTTAGCAGAAACAACAAAGGCACAAAGAAATAGTAGGAATGGGATCAACAGGTTCTGTTCTGGCTCTTGGGAGAGGCAGAGAAGTGCACCCAGCCAGGGCCCGAGGTGCCAGGCTGGAGGCTGGACAGCAGCCCCGCGGTGGCTCTGTGGCAGCGGTGGCCGAGGACAGGGACCCCGAGGGCTGGGGTGGGCAGCACTGCGGAGCAGGGAGCAGGCAGGAGGGAAGAGCACCTTGCTGGGAGGGCAGGAGCAAGCCAGGAGGAAGAAGAGGGGACTGGGAGGATCTGAGCTCTGGGCAGATGGTGTGAGCACGGCAGGACCCGGCCAGGGCAGTGGAGGCAGTGGGAAGACACGCTTGGCATCCTTAGGCTGGCAACTGCTGGAGCCGCTCCTGCCTCAGTCTGCTCCGTGTATGGGAATTAAATATTGGACACAGATTATACAAGTGCTTCTAAATGAGAAAGTGAAGCATCTCTTGCAGAAAGGTGGGAGTGCTGAAGAAGTGTTCATTGTTCAGACTCGCCCTTTGCTGCAGCTCTTTCTGCCCTGTCTCCCTTTCCCTGTGCCTCCTGCCCTTCACAGGCATCACTGCAAGTACCATTGCTGTGTGCCATAAGCAAGTGCCTCCTGAAAATGCTAATTTGTCCACCAGTACAGTGCTGGTTGCCATGACCACTCATAAAAACAGTAATTTTCAGGGTGACTAGTGCCCAGTCTGAGCTGCAGCAGCTCCCCATGACTTTAAACTCACAGCACACGGTGGGTCGCTCGAGGGAGCAGCTTCCTGAGGCTGCCAGCCAGGCTGGTACCTTATTTCTGACTGATCATCAGCGAGTCTGCACCGTGCAAAGCCCTTCCTGTCCCCCTGCTCTTGCTTACTTGCCAGCCCTGACACCCTGAGTGCATTTTGCTCCTGGGTGAGGCATTTCGTTCTGGCCACCAGAGACCCATCCACGGAGAGCTTCGCGTCCCGGTGCAGAGCATGGAGCTTCTCCTGGTCACTGCGCTCCTTTCCACAGCCTCACACATGGAGAGGAATCCTGTCAGGAACTGTCCATTGAAGCTGCCCTTTGAGTTCATTTTGCTCTCCCAGCATTGCATTTTCCAGAGGACTTTTCCAGGTATGGTTTGAACTGGTGAGATGGGAGAAGCTGGAGCTCTTTCCACATGCAGCATTACGACATGCTGCAGTGAAGTTGGTTCTTGGAACGTAGCAGCCCCCTAAAATGTCAAATAAATCCTTAAACTATTCATCACTCTGTTTTTGGGGTGGCAGTTAAGTCTTTCAACACTCTGTGAGTTTCTTTCCCCAGCAGTAATTTTGTTGGTGAAGAAATACAGCTCAGGGCACTCCACAAAGTGGAGCCTCAAAATTCATGTTTTGTTTTCATTACCAAAAAAATGCTTTGCTACATTAAAGACTGGCCCATTAAAGTTTTGTACCCTGTCTTCTCTGCACCCTGTCGTTGTTGGCAGACCTTCCCCTGTGCCCGTGCAGAGCAGAGCAGCTTTGCTTCTGCAGGCTCCACAGAGAAAGGGCAGCAGAGGGGAGGAGGCTTCAGCCACAGCTCAGCTTGCTCAGATGTAAGATCTCAAAACTTGAGATAGCCATGCAAATTTACTCAGTAAATGTATGTACTGAACCTTAAGCTATCAGTGCTTCCTCTGCTTTCAGTGTATCCCATCACAGCACACTGCCAAAGGAAATAAATTAACTGTCTGGTTCCTGGAATAAAGTGTAATGCTGCACAAAGCAGTGTATTTAACTGTCTTGGGCAAATGGCCTTAAAATAACAACAAAAAAGAACACAGTGAATTACAGGAGTCTTACTGAGCCTTGTGATTATATAAATTAAATGTTGCCAGGTGAACTGGATGGTATTCTCTGATACTGTAGGAACGCTGGAGGTTGGAGAAAACAGTAAATGTTATAATTAGGGTTTAGGAGAGCACTTGGTTATTCTCACAAGTAATTCAGACTAGCTGTGTGCTGGCATGGGCATGAGAGCAGGCAGTAAAACCTGGAGCTTCCTTAATTAAGAGGGCAGAAAGGTTTTTTAGCAAAATTCAGTGGAGACTTACCATGTCCAGTTTTATTTATTATATCCACATTTTATTTAGATATAAATGGTGCATTAATAAATTTACAACCATATTAGCAAGTTAGAAGATGAGCGCAAGGTGCAGCTGTGGGCCAGGGCACAGGCAGGAGCAGCAGCAGGGCAGGGGGGCAGCAAACCTGCCCCTTGCCAGCACCTGGGTGGGCACTGGCATCACTTGCAGATGCTCCCCATGCTGCTGGGGCTGGGTGCTGGTGCTGGGAGCAGGGAGGCAGCGAGGCTGGGCAGCAGCAGTGCTGGACATGGCCTGCAGCAAGGCTTGATGAGCTGTTTTCCAGGGAAGGGGAAAGCCCTGGCCTGGACTCAGCCAGCTCACGGGGGATTTCATGGGCCATTTGAAGGGCTGGCTCGATAGTGAAATGCAGCCAGCTGTGGGATGGGCTCTCTGGGAAATGGAGGAGTCCTCATGGCAGGATTATTTAAGACTCGACTTTGAAAGATGAGACAACTGCAGTTGGGAACAATGCTGCACTGTCACAGAGATGGACTCAATTACTTAATAGGTCGCTGCTGTCTGTCTCCTGCGTTTTCCCTTTCAAGAACATATATTCAGCTGGGTTATTTCTCATGGGAAGACAAAGCCTTGTGAGAGGAGGCAGGCATTTGGAGGGGAGAGGCTGGAGGAGCAGCAGCTAGGCAGATGCCTGGTTTGCTCTCCTTGGGACTGGAAAAACCTGGAGTGGTGTAGCTGATGTGGTCCTTTGGTCCCATAATCAGCTGATGCCCCGGTCACACAGGTCTTGATCCCATTTTTTTTCTTCACAAAAGATTTGCCAGGGTGCTCTCCCCCTGCCAGGCTCATCCCCAGTGCTGCTGGTGGTGACACTGTCGGGCTGCATGGGCCATTGCTTTCTGCTTTTCTGCATTGGATGGACACTGAGAGGTCCATGCAGCCCATCTCAGTGCCTGGGCAGCCTCTCCTTCAGCACAGGAAGGCTTGGATGGTGTTTGGTCAAATGCCAGCTGAGCTGGAGGCCAGCTCATGGCCAGGAGCCCAGCCCTGGAGTAGCCACTTGGTTCCCTGTTAGCAGGACAGGGAGGACAGGGACGTGTCACAGCCAGGGGCTCGTGTTCTCCCCAGGATCCCTCTGCCAGCCGTGGGGTGAGGGTTCCAGGGCCTTTCCTGGTGGGGCAGGGGCGTGCCAGGCTGAGGGCAGCGTGGGACCCTCACTGCCCTCACCCAGGGCACCTGCCCCAGTGCCCGTGTTTGTCACCAAATTAACATCCTGCATCACCTTATGCACGCTGAATTGATGCACCTAAATTGGTTGTTCTTAAGCCCCAAGGCTGTAATGAGATTTTGTCTCTTTTGCCCATTTCTTTTTCTCTTCTCTTTTTTTCAGAATAAGTCGTCTGTTTAATGGCACAGAGCCTATTGTCTTGGACAGTTTAAAACAACATTATTTCATTGATCGAGATGGGGAAATTTTCAGATATATATTAAGCTTCCTAAGGACATCTAAGCTACTGCTCCCAGATGACTTTAAGGTAAGGAAAGCTAGAGTCTGCAATGTGTTTTTTGCTCCGTTCTGTCATTTGTTTTGGGGCAGGTTGGTTTCTATGCTTGACCTAAACACACTTAACTAAATGTTGCTGTTTATTTGTTAGGATTTTTAGTACTTGTGTATTACACCAGGGATGCTATTATTTAATAAATGAGCCAGTGGTTGTCATGGATACCAAGAAAAGTTAAACGATGAGGCTTATAGCTAAATCAGTTTTTCTAAACTAATTGTATTTTCTCACATTTTTAGCTTATTTATCAGGGTATAACAACAATTAAGAAGCAACATCAGCAACTTGCACTTAGCAGGGTTTAATGCTCAGACTCTGAAAGAAATGTTTCAAGTTTGATACATAGAGGACTTGAACTGTGTAAATCTTTTTGCTATAAAAAAGAAACCTTTAAACAAGCCCATGAGGATTTGTGTTAGACATAACCAATGCAGATAGTTTGATTTCAGGAAGTAATCTGCTCACAGTTAATGTCAAAATATTCGTGGGAGATGGAATTGACTGAGGGCTTTCTAAGGAGCAGGACATGTTTTGTATGAAGTCATGGTTGTTTCTCTGAGGCCCTGATTGTTTAAAGGCTCTGCTTTTGGCCTTGTTTGTTTGGCTTTGCGCTTAGGAAACTTCCAGCATTGTCACCCTGATGTATGAAAATTAGAAGACAAAAGTGTCCAAACTGTAGATGACAAGATTCAACAAAAGCACTTATTCCAGGATGAAATGATGAATAAATTGGGATGGCAGATGGGGCTCTGCCAGTCAGAGGATGCAGAGCTTTGCTATGAAGGAAAACTTCTGCTTTCTCTGAAAGAGTGCCATTTCACTTTGTTGTACTGTCTGGGCACAGGACCACTTGGGTTGGGACTGAGTGAGTCCAGAGTGGTGGTGGTGGCTCTTGCTTTGGAGCAGGGCTGGTCCTGGTGCCCAGCTCAGCCACTCTCACCTGAGCTAGCAGGACAGTCATGTCTGACCCACCGTGGGAGGGTCTGCAGCTCACACCTGGCAGGGGCAGGTTTTGGCAGTCCTGGTTTGAGCTCAGCCCAGAAGGGCTGTCCTGAGCACTGGCGTTCCTGGTGAGTGGCAGATGGGCTGGAGAAGTGCCCTGTGGAATGGGGGGAAATGAGAAATGAGGGCTGGGTGGGAGAAAACTCTGCAGAGAAATGAAATTACCTGTGTGTAAATTCTGGTCTTTAGTGGAGCTAAAGACCAGAGCAGTCCTGGAGTTGTAGGATGGATCAAGGGAAGGGGTGGATGGAGAGGTGGGAGAGGCACAGGAGAGATGCTTTAGCAGCTGTGTTTTGTTCAGTCCAGTGGGGCAGTGTGAGAAGAGGCCACACCTCGAGTGCTGTGCCCAGTTCTGGGCCCTCACTTTGGGAAGGACCTTGGGAGCCTTGGACACGCCCAGGGGAGGCAACGAGGCTGGAGAGGGGCTGGGAACACAAACCCTGTGAGGAACCCCTGAGGGAGCTGGGGGTGCTCAGCCTGGAGAAAAGGAGACTCAGAGGTGACCTTATCACGCTGCACAGCTCCTGAAAGGTGCCTGTGCTCAGGTGGGGTTGGTCTCTTTCTCCAGACAGCACTGACACAACCAGAGCACACAGTCTCAAGCTGCACCAAGGGGAATACAGGTTGGATATCAGGAAAAAGTTTTTCACAGAAAGAGTGATAAAGTTCTGGAATGGCTGCCTGGGGAGGTGGTGCAGTCACCATCACTGGGTGTGTTTAACAAAGCCTGGATGTGGCACTGGGGGCCAGGGTTTAGTTGGGGTGTTGGGGCTGGGTTGGACTCGATGACCTTGAAGGTCTCTTCCAACCTCGGAATTCTGGGAATTCTGTGAAGAGAGGGGTAGAGAGAAGAGAGAGGTGGTTTGAGTTGATTATGGCCTCCACCAGCATCCAGATTTCAGAGATGCTCAGTCACAGAAGCAGCAGGATTTGGCTGGATTCTGCAGGGGAGAGGATGCCCAGGGCTTGTCTGCAGAGTGAGCCTGGCAGGGCTGGGGGCTCGGGGAGGGCTCTGTGCCCGCTCAGGGCCTGCCCCCCACCACCCCTCTGCACTGGGGGAGCTGCATTTCAGTGAGCTCCTCCCTGGGAGAGCTTTAGAGCAAACCCCAGGCTAATGAGGGCTCAAGAACAAAGCAAAGCATTGCTAGGTAGGGAGTAACTAAATCAAAATGCATAGAAGAATGAGCTGTAAAGCTGTATTAAAACTGCACTGTAAACGGATTTAACTTCACAGAAATCGTGTAATTTTGCCAGCATGATTAAAGTGACAGAAGACAATAATCAAAGGCAGCAAATGGAATCACTCGGTGTTTCTAAATGCAAAACTCTATTTAAGGTATAAAACCTGACAGCTTTTCCAGTGAGACTTGCATTAAATGTTCTTTATGTCAAACAAAGCACTATCAAGTGTTTTGAATATTTATTAGTTTTTACCCCTTAATTTAATCAAGCAGTTTATTAGCCTCAAGGTTTAGCCAAGTTGCTTTTCAACTTGAATTGCTGCTCAGATGGTTATTTTGGAAAGTTTGGAATGCTAGTACCACACCAGCATTACTGTGTTTGCTATTTCAGTGGTGTTTTCAGACGAAGTTAACACTGAAATGCAGAGAAAGTGGGGTGTGTGTTCTGAGGCTAGTGGTTCTTTATTATCAAGTCTGAGTCGTGTGTTTACAGTGAATATTAATTACACTTGCAACTGCTACTAAGCCAGAACTTGAAAGTGTCTCCCAGGTCTTGCTGCTGAAAGCAGCACTCCTGTGGTTCCTGTAGCTTTCCTGGGTTTGGGGGATTTTGAGCCCCGTGCTGAGGGCAGTGTGCCTGGCTGTGCCCTGCAGCCAGCCCGTCCCAGCTGCTGCTGGTGCCCGGCTTGGGGCCAGCTCAGCTCTGCCACTGCTCTCAGGGCTGGCTGCCACAGGAGCTGCTCCTCCCCTGGTGCCCAAAGTCCCCTCCTTGGTGTCCCCTGCCAGCAGAGGGGCTGCCCCAGGAGCAGCACGTGTCCCCTTCACTGTCCCTGCCCAGCTGCACACAGGAGCTGCTGTGGGTCTTGTTCGGGACTCACTCCCTGCTCAGAGAGCATCAGACAGGAACAGACACAGGCAATGTGAGTATTGTTGTTCCCTGTCAAAGAGGAGCACAAAGGAAAACAAAGAGTTTAATGTGGATTGCAGAGACCACATGTGGCACCAAAATTACAGGGCCACCACTCTAATTTATTAACACAGTTACAAAATTTGTGTGCTTGCATCTAAAGTCTCTCAAACTGACCTCAGGAAACAGTGCAGTTGTCATTGTAGAAGTGAGCAACTTTCTTTCATAGCCAGGAGTCAGATCTTCACAGCACTAAAAATATAAAAGAAACATTGACTTAGGATGACAGTTTGTTGTTTCATGTAATAAAGAATAACAAGTGAAAAATGGACAGAAGAGCCATTTCAGCCTGTTCAGGAGTCACCATTAGGGGCAAAAATAAAGGATGCCTTTGGTACTGAGAGAACAGCACCAGCTCTGTGGGACACATGGGCTCAGTGTGTGCCTGCCCTGGGTGGCAGATCTGAACCAGCCTGCTGGCCCTGGCATGGGAGCAGCAGCACTGCTGGCCTGGAGGTCACACCTCCTCCCCAGAAAGGTGTCACCCTTGTCACAGGTGACTGCTAGAATTTAGCCCACTTGAAATCCACCACAGAAAAAGCTTTTTTACTGAACAAAAAGCAGAAAATTATTTTCTGAAAGGTAAAAGGCTGCGTCTTTGAAAGATCTGTTAATGTTGCCAGTGAGATCTACATGTAGGCCAGAAGCTGTGGCTGGAGAAAGGCTGTGTGCATCCCTGCCTGTCTGCTCCCTTCCACAAGTGACCTGGCAGAACTTCCCACTGGTTCCTGCAACAGCCACAGGAGGTTGAAGGCTCATGGTAGCTGTAAAGGCTTTTTTTAATAAAAAAAAAATTGAGGGCTGTACTATCTCCCCTTTCAGTCTATCAAAGAGCACCCTGCTTGTGACTGCCACTGGTGGTGGGAATCACCTCCAGAGGAAAATGTGTCCCTGGGCTAAAGAGAAGCAGTTCCACTATCTGTCATAGTGCTTGGCTCTGGTGCTGCTGGCAGGGAGCTGGGAACACAGGGAAATAATGCTTGTAAGAAATGGGAGATGCTTGAGTCCTGCAGGACAAGGAAGTCCTGGGTATTGCACAAAATCTGCTGTGGAATGGTGCCAGCAGCACTGCCCCACCGGGCTGGAGCCGCTGTGGGAGGGAGCTGCAGGTGTCCCTGTGCAGGGATCAGGGCTGGCGTGGCACAGAGCTGTGCCCTGGGCTGTGACCCTCTGTGCCCGTGGCCACTGGGCTGCTCCTGCCTGTACCAGTGGGATGTGCCTCTCCTGGATGGGGCCAGGAGCAGTCATGGCTGCATCTGCCTTTGGTAACTTACCACAACCAGCAGCATGGAAATGTTCTCCTGCAGTTCCTGTGGCACCTCCCTGGCGAGGGCTCTTGTGGGTTTCATTCTTCTGCTTTACATTTCATGTTAATGGTAAATAAATCATCAGGGTAGGGTTTGATATCTGCAGTGCAAGGGTAGGAGTGTACCTATGCCAGTGTCACCTGGGCATCCCAGGCATTCAGTGCAGATAGTCCAGAGCTGGGCTCTCCTGATCTGGTCACAGAACTCTGAACAATGTGTAAAACCTGGAGGGAAAGTTTGTGGGCTTGGTGTGCAGAGCCCATGACCCTGTCCAAGTACAGGATCTAGAGAACCTGGCCCCCACGCTGTGAGCCACTCGTTCTGTGTTCCTGGCTCTGTGAAACACTCTTCCCTCCCTAAACACAGTGTCAGATTCCCTCAGGATGCCCCAGTCCCTCCCTGCAGAAAGGCCAAAAGTCCCATAAGAGGAGCAGGGACAGTGTTTGCTGCTGGTGGCTGTGGGCAGCAGTGCAGTGGGGTCACACAAGGTGTCCCTTCCCAGCACTGTCACTGGTGGACTGCAGTGAAATCCTCTTGCTACAGAAGACTCTTTTTTATCCCCTCTTACTACAGCACAAGGAATTCCCCTTACTGGCACTGCCTGACAGTGGTGCCCCGATTCCCTGACATCACCTCCTGGCACCAGCACACCTCAGTTCCCTGTTACAGGGCCCTTCTTCAGGTGCACAACCCTTCCCACATTTGTGCTGAACCAGAGTGTGGAATGGGCACAGGCAGGAGAGCCTGACTTTGGAGAGTAACCCAAACAACTTGGCCCAGCACCTGATGCTCCAGCTCAGCCCTGATTTCCACACAGCCCCCTGAAGCGTGGCTCTCTCGTTTTGGGAGCAGTAGTGGAAGAGCTGTTCCATTTGAAAGCAGGTTTTCTTCTCACAAAATGGTATCAGGATGTAAAATTTATCCTGTTCGTTTTCGGGCAAATGACAGCCAGCAGAGTCACTGGAAAGCTGCAGTTGGTGGGGTGGGCTGAGTGGGCTGTGGGAGAAGCAGGGCTGGTGTGATCTGGGCTTTGCTTGGTTTATGGCACTGCTGTTCTGGCCCGAGGGTGCAGGGCCACTGAGGTTCAGGATACGGCCGGGCCAGTGCAGAGGCAGGGGCCACTCACAGATCTGTACTGCAGTGGGTTTGCATCCAGCCTCAGGAGCCCTGTGCACTCTCTGCTCGCAGCCATGAAGGGCTGTTCTTTCTTTCACTGTACCATCTCTTCCAGGTTTTACTGTTGAGTTTTCTTAGCACATATTCACTTGATTGATTTTACAAATAATACCTTATTTTATAGTGTCCATGAACCCAGATACTCCAAAACTGGTTTTTCAGGACCTATTGAAAACAGCAGATGACTTTCCATTGCCTTCAGAAAGTACTGGGTGCTCCTGATCACTCTACACCATTACATTTTTCCTTAGCATTGCATGTTTCCTTGCTTGGAAGAGCAATCCATGGCACCAGCAGATGCCAAGTGAACATTTGGCAGGCCACTCCACACACCTCTGTACCTAACACAGCTGGTAGACTGTGCTGGTTCAGTGTCCTGCACAGAGATTTCAGATATTTTTTTTTTTTTATTAGGCCACTAATCCCTGTAGGTTTAAACTGAACCCCTATTCAGTACTGAGGGAGCATCACTGGTGGACAGAGGAAAGCAGGAATGGTTCAGCAGAGAGTGCTGGTTTTGGGAAGGGTGAGAACACCTTCCAGCAGAGGACGAGGCTTTGGGGCTGGTGCTGTCTTACCTGAGCCCAGGTAGTGCAGGCAGCCTCCACAGCTCTTTGCCTGGCCTGTTCCCAGCACTGGCTGTTGGTTGTTTGCAGCATGCTCTCTGCATGATTTCTTCTTTAATCTTCTGTGTTTTCCATCTTCAAGCTGTCCCGTGAGAGTGTTTGTTGCCCTCATTTCTTCCCACTCGCTCTTATCCCTCTTCCTCTCTGCTCCTCTTATCCTCCAGTCCTTTTTTCTGCCTTAGCTGTGTGCACATTGTCCCCACCTCAGCAGACATCAAAGAGATGTAAAGGATTGGATGTCCCTTTTGTAAGTCGCTCACCTTGCCCTGTCACTGTGAATATTCATATGTCTCCAGGCTGCAGGCAGCCCTGGGGTGAAGGAGCACCTCCACTACCAGTGGGTCTGTGGTGCCAAATTTGAGCAGAGATAACTGCTTTGGTTCAGTAATACCCTGCAGCAGGAGATTTTACAGGTTAATTCCACACCTGTATGTAGAGTTGCACCTTTTTTTGCTGCATCTTCATTGGCCTTTGATTCCCCTCCTCCCTGAGTCCTGGGGCAGCAGCACACCCGTTATTTTTCATGTGCTTTTGGTGCCCATTACTTGATTGCTTCTTGTCGTATCATTCTTTCCAGTCCAAATGATTCCAGCCATTTCAGTCTTGATTTTTCTTTTCATTTTATTTTTCATGTCACTGGTGTAGAACTGGCCTCTGTCAGTGTTGACCTCCAGCACACCCCACAGGAGCAGCCGTGGGGCAGCATTTGTGTATGTCAAGAGGTGCAGGAGCTGGGAGAGCAAAGCCAGGTGTCTGCAGGGAGCAGCTGAGCTCCTGTGAGGCTGGGGGAGCAGAGTGCCCCCAGGACCTCTCCCTCTCCCCCTGCTCTGGCTGGGCCTGGGGGGCTCAGCTGCCTCCTGGGGCCTGGGGGGCTCACACCCTTTGCCTCTCTGTACTCCCACATGTTTCAGCTGGGCTGGGAAGATCTGTCAGAGTCTGATGAAACAATCACTGAACTGGGAATTGGATCAAACTGGGAATTTGAATTGCCCAAAGCCCAAGTGAAGTGATGGACGAATGGCAGGGAAGAAGTGCTTCTCTGCAGCCCTTGGAGCACATGGCTGAGCTCCCAGCCAGCAGCATGGTCACCACCTCCGTGTCATTTACCGGAGTAAAAGTGAGACAAAGTAGGCTTGAAACACATGAATAGTCATCAACAGCAGACAGCAGCTCAGCTGCTGTGGATGAATTCAGCCTCAGCAAAGGCAGGTGAGAAGTGAAGCTGAACTGACATCTCCATCTCCTGTCGGGCGAGCGGCGGCAGCGGAGCCTGAGATCTGCTGTGGGATCAGAAGTGTCCGAGCCACCATGGAGAGCAGGGCTTGGAACATCTTCTCTTACATCAGTGAGCTTTGTTTACTGCAACCAGCTATTTTGATTTCTTAACCCAAGAGTGAAGCCTTCTGGCATGGAGCTTGTGGGATAATAAATGAAAGGATAATTCAGTGCAATGGGAACTTCTCAGTCAGCCCAAACAATTCCACACCAGCACCGTGTGGTTTCTGTGGAGGTGTAAGTACGTGGGTACCTGTTGCCTTTGCTCTCTTGCTGACAATACATAAGCCTAAGTAGGTCAAAGAGGAACAATACTCATTTTTAAAAGAGAACTATAAGCATTTCTAGTTTCTCTCTCTCCCTCTCTTTTTTTTTTTCTTTCCCAGGACTTTAATCTTTTATATGAAGAAGCAAAGTATTACCAGCTGCAGCCAATGATTAAGGAACTTGAGCGATGGAAACAAGAGAAAGAACAAAGGAAACATTTCCAGCCTTGTGACTGCTTGGTTGTAAGAGTGACTCCAGATCTGGGGGAAAGAATTGCATTGAGTGGGGAGAAGGCTTTGATAGAAGAGATCTTCCCGGAGACGGGGGATGTCATGTGCAACTCGGTGAACGCGGGCTGGAACCAGGACCCCACCCACGTTATCAGGTTTCCCTTGAATGGATACTGCCGGCTGAACTCCGTGCAGGTAATGAACGGCCTGTCCTGCTGCCTCCTCGGGGCTGGGCTGCTGTTTTACTGTGGCTTCTTCAATTATATGCAAATTATTTGCTTCTGCCCAATTACTTTCGGTGCTTATACTGCAAGGAAACATTTTTCTGCCTGGTGAGATCACAGTCTTTCAGGTTTTCCTAAGTCTAAGCAGAAAAATACATTTAGATTTTGTGTATGTTAGTGCCATGCTGGCCTCATAATGGTGTTATACTGATAAATGCTAATTTTTTTCATCAATGTATAGCCTTCGGCAGTTTTTTTTTTCCTCCAAAGTGCCTCTAGGAAGAAAGAGAGAGTTCCAAAAACTACAAAAAAAATCTCCACACCATTTTATAGAAAATGCAACAATGTGTAAATGCATAATTTATGTCTCACTCATAATTAAATGATGGTGCCTGCGGGATGGACTTAAAAAAATTGATCTCTGCACTTTTTTTTTTTTTCAAAAGGATGTTCTATAAAAATTGCCCAGAGTATTTTAAACAAAAATGTATTTCATTTTATACTCAGAGTTTTGACATTCGGTTTAAAATTAAACATATGAAACAAAAGAAGATAACTGGACAGATAGGTGGATGGCAGCAGGAATGAATACGTGGCCTGTGTGTAGGCAGCAGCCCGGTGCCATCGGCCAGGGATCACCGGGGCTCTGCTGCTGTGCCTGTCCGGGCAGGAACCAGTGCCCTTAACTGGGCAGGGCAGAGCTCTTGGATCCCTGCGTATTCCTTTGGAATAGGCTGCAGATGCTCGTGTTACGGGCAGGGACATCAACCCAGAGGGGAGCATTTCCCAAATGACCGTCCTCTGCTGTGGCTGTGATCTGGGCTCTGGGAATGCCGTGGCCGCCTGGATAAACTCCCTGTGGGCAAAATCCCAGGGAGAAGCTGGTCTGGCTGGGCAGGGAGGGCGGCAGCAGGGAGGACAAGACCCCGGAGATGCCGTGGGTGCTGCACGTCAGGCTCGGGCACCGTGCGCCTGCCAGGCTGCCGGGGACATCCTCAGCAGGGTCCCCTGCCCTGCAGAGGCGGCGGGAGGCGGCGGTGACCCCTGCGAGGGCAGTGCCCCCGTGGGCAGTGACCCCTGCGTGGGCAGTGCCCCCTGAGTGGGCAGGGACCCCTGGGAGGGCAGTGCCCCCGTGGGCAGTGCCCCCTGCGAGGGCAGTGACCCCTGCGAGGGCAGTGCCCCCTGCGTGGGCAGGGACCCCTGCGAGGGCAGTGCCCCCTGAGTGGGCAGTGACCCCTGGGAGGGCAGTGACCCCTGAGTGGGCAGTGACCCCTGCGTGGGCAGTGCCCCCGTGGGCAGTGACCCCTGCGTGGGCAGTGACCCCTGGGCTGGAACATCCCAGCCCCGGGCTTGGGTGGCCTTTGGCCCCCACAGGTGAATCTGGCTCAGCAGGCTGTGGTGAATTCTGCCCGGCCCCGAGCAGTTCCACGGCTGGCAAGGTTTGGGGCTCAGAGGCAGCTCTGTCCTGCACGGGGACAGGGAGGGTCCCCACTGCTGTGCTGGGAGCACGGGAGGAGCTCTTGTGTGCCAGCCCTGCTGTCCCGGCAGCCTGTGAGATGGCACCAGGAATGAGAGGAGCTGAAAGCACGGAGGGTCCCAGCAGCTCAGCCCTGCCTGGCACAGCTCTGGGTGCCCACACGGCCGGGCACTCCGCTCTTTTATCCAGTGCTGCGACTCCTGGGATGCATGTGCTACATGTGGAGCAAAAGCTGAGCACTAATTACTGTTATTATTTGAATGTGTTTTGAATTCAGTCAGAATTCAGACAGAATCAAAGGGTCTCTTTGCAAGTTCATGTTGTGGAAAAAATTTCTGTCAAAGAGTCTACAGTATAAGTAATCCTGTTAAATTACATCATTTTACTAAATTACATCATTTTACTATATAATTAATAGAAAGTGTTTTCAAACACTTTCTGGAAAATGATGCATTTCTGAGACCAAAGGCTGATGAAACCAGCAGCTAATTAGCATTGGCTCTGATGAACTCTGGTCAGCACACAGGCACTGCTCTTCCCCCTCCAAGGATTTTTTTGGCAAAACAATATTAAGTCAAAAGTTGGAAGTACAGTGAGGCAAATGCACAGATTTAAGATGGGTAGTGCTTGGAAGAGCAGAATTGCTTGCAAAGAGTCCCACAGAGCAACACAGAAAGCCTGTCTGCTGTTTGCTCAGGTGATACATTACTTCTGCCTCCCCCCAGGGGTCGGCAGTGCCCCCGTGGGCAGTGACCCCTGCGTGGGCAGGGACCCCTGAGTGGGCAGTGACCCCTGCGTGGGCAGTGCCCCCGTGGGCAGTGCCCCCTGCGAGGGCAGTGCCCCCTGGGCTGGAACATCCCAGCCCCGGGCTCGGGTGGCCTTTGGCTGCCCACAGGTGAATCTGGCTCAGCAGGCTGTGGTGAATTCTGCCCGGCCCCGAGCAGTTCCACAGCTGGCAAGGTTTGGGGCTCAGAGGCAGCTCTGTCCTGCACGGGGACAGGGAGGGTCCCCACTGCTGTGCTGGGAGCACGGGAGGAGCTCTTGTGTGCCAGCCCTGCTGTCCCGGCAGCCTGTGAGATGGCACCAGGAATGAGAGGAGCTGAAAGCACGGAGGGTCCCAGCAGCTCAGCCCTGCCTGGCACAGCTCTGGGTGCCCACACGGCCGGGCACTCCGCTCTTTTATCCAGTGCTGCGACTCCTGGGATGCATGTGCTACATGTGGAGCAAAAGCTGAGCACTAATTACTGTTATTATTTGAATGTGTTTTGAATTCAGTCAGAATTCAGACAGAATCAAAGGGTCTCTTTGCAAGTTCATGTTGTGGAAAAAATTTCTGTCAAAGAGTCTACAGTATAAGTAATCCTGTTAAATTACATCATTTTACTAAATTACATCATTTTACTATATAATTAATAGAAAGTGTTTTCAAACACTTTCTGGAAAATGATGCATTTCTGAGACCAAAGGCTGATGAAACCAGCAGCTAATTAGCATTGGCTCTGATGAACTCTGGTCAGCACACAGGCACTGCTCTTCCCCCTCCAAGGATTTTTTTGGCAAAACAATATTAAGTCAAAAGTTGGAAGTACAGTGAGGCAAATGCACAGATTTAAGATGGGTAGTGCTTGGAAGAGCAGAATTGCTTGCAAAGAGTCCCACAGAGCAACACAGAAAGCCTGTCTGCTGTTTGCTCAGGTGATACATTACTTCTGCCTCCCTATGCTCTGCTCAATGTATTTGGTAGCACAAAATTGCAATATTTATACATTTTTTCTATATTAGAAAAATATTTTCATTACATGCTTTACATCAAGAACTGTGGGTGTAAAATAAAGAACATCAACACCTAATAGGCAGAAAAAGAATACAGTAATTCTTAATTGTACACCCATTTGTAATTTTATATAGTTACAGGTTTTTTCAATTCCTTGCAATAGGTTCTGGTGGGAGTCACAAATTTACCTTAGAGAAAATTCTGTGATGCTTGTGAATGTTGAACATTAAGTCTTCATAATTAAGAATGTATTTGTTAATATTCTGCACAATTTAAATGAAAGGATCAGGTTTCCATTTGGAAAACCTCCCAACAAAATCAGATGTGCTTGCAATACTGGAAGACAGCACATATTAAATGTGAGCACAAATCCCCTATTTAATAATGTGCATGTGTCCCTGTACATGGGGAGTTGCAGCTGATACTCAGTTTTTGGCATATTCTCTTTGGAGATTTTCAGCAGAGTAGCAGAGATGGTCACTGCTTTCCCCCTGTCCATATCTTACCTTCAGAAGAAATAAAATGTATAGAATCAAATTCTCTAAATGGGATGCAGACCTGTCCATGTTCAGGTGCTGTTCAGCACTGAAAGGAGCCTTTCTCCCTAGACCCGAGCTCAGCCTCATCCCAGTGACACCCAAAACTGCAGTATTTAAACATCCTCAGCATTGTTTACAGCAAATCAATGATCCCAGGGTTTTTAACACCAGACTGTGGCCTGCAGTCTGTCCTTGCACCATGGAGTGGGTGAGCAGGAGTCGCTTTGGTGGCCCGTGCTGCTCTGAGGTGCAGTGTCTGTCTGGGCTGGGTGTTTGCAGAGAGAGGCTCTGTGATAAAGAATCCTGTGTTAACATCCAGCTTTCCATAGCTTTGGTCTGAGGCAAGCCAAAGGCACCCCCCTGCTTGTTTTGTCTTACAAGCAAATTGATTTTAAAAACTTTTTTAGCAAGGATTTTGAAGTCCCGTCTCTCTCAGAAATCTTACCTGTCAATCCTCTGTTCCACTGTCCAGTTCAGTGGGAGAAGCCTCCTTTCCCATGGCTGGATTGTCTCTCATCTTCATCCTGTCAGGGCTGGGAGCAGTGATCACAACACAGGCAGAACATACTCCAGCCTGTGACACAGCAGCCTGCTGATGTCTTATTCCTCCTTCCTGCCCTCCCCCCTGAGGAGGAACAGTGCTGCTGTCTGCACCCCATTTCTGTCCTACAGGCCCCAGTCAGCCCGGCTGAATAAGAGGGGTGAAAGCTTTCTTTCTCTGTCTTAAATGTATTTTATTAACCCACTCTCCTGCCTCTTCTTTGTAGCCATGTCTTACAAAAAGATAGAAGTGTTTTATTTATTACTTTCATACCTTTAAGTCCAAAGTATCCCTCAGTAGTCCATTCAGGTTCTTGTTTTTATCCTGTATCCACTCCTGCCCTGCCCTCTGGCATGGGGTGAGCTGAGCACTCCTGGCAGCACACCCTGTCCAGTTCTTACCTCTCAGCCAGGGAATAAAGGTGATATTCCATCCCAAGGGCTGCTCCTGGCCCTGGTGCTCTCCCCAGGCAGTCTGGGCAGCGCAGACTGGGATGGTGCTTTTACACATCTGTGGAACGTTGGAAGTATTTGTGGTTGGTTGGTTGGTTGGTTGGTTTTTCCTCAGTTTGGTGTTTACTGTATTTTTTTATGGCTCAATAAAGCAGCTCCCGTCGTTGGGGCAGCTTTGCTGAGGTGGCATTGGAAAGGGTTCCAGGCTGCGCCAGCCGAGTTAAATGTGAGCTTGAGATGGAAAGTTTAAACCATGACATCACAGCATTGACTGCAGAACAGCACAAAGGCTAGGAAGACATGTGGAAACAATCACTTTCTTAGAAGAAATATGCCTTTAAAAAAAAAAAGTTAAGCTAGGACATGTTCTTTTAGTTAGTAACTTCAGGTCACTTATTTAAAGATTATTACAGTTTCATTTATATATTTTTTACTTATTTCCCTATATTTTTAGGCATCAATATCAGCAAAAAAAACTGATTTGAATATCTACTTCTGGCCTTAAACCACAGCAACAAAACTTAATGAAGAAAATTGCTCAGCATCTCTAGGATGTTCTAAAGCACCCAGAGCATGGTGCCGCTGTGGTGTGCAGCCAGCACGTCTGCGTGGCGAAGGCCAAGAAGCAAAGCCCAGCCTGGTTCTTCACCTGATCCCATGGAGCAAATCTGTTCTGACTCGCTGTTGCTGAGCACTGGCCGCGTGCCCGAGGAGCACGAGGCCTCACGAGCACTTTGTGTCCAGGCTGTCGCAGCTCCAGTGGCAGCCAGAAAGGGCCAGAGAATGTTCTGCTGTGCTTGCTGGGCTCCTCGCTGGAGAGAGCCACTGCTGAGCGCATCCATTCTCTGCGCTGATGGCACCGAGGTTTGTTGACAATTTTATTAGATGTTTCACAAAGGATAAGAATCAGCACAACAAAACATTGAAGTATTTGGTTTTAATATTTGTTTGTGGGTATTCTGTTAATATTTTAATGCAAAATGTTTCTGACCAGTGCTTAAGAACTACAAGACAATGTGAAATTCATGTTTGATAAATTAATACTGTATGTCACTCAATGTGTTACTTTAGTAAATTGTTTTATTTCTTTACAAAATAAGTACAAATAAGGGAGTATGTTTTCACACAAATTGGGGGTATTTACCAGTATGTACAGAAATCATCAAAATAACGTAACTCTAATAAACACAAGGCCTTTATAAACAATATGTACAAATTATCAATACATTTAAAACATAACTTTACACTTCCTGGCCTTAAATACCTTATGAATAATCTTTTGGCTAAATAGCAGCAGTATAAATTTTCTTCTGCTT